GAGTATGTCGAAAAAACTTTCAAAAACGTCATAGTATCGTATGTCAAAAAACGTCATAGTATAATATGTCGAAAAACGTCATAGTATCGTATGTCGAAAAACGTCATAGTATAGTATGTCGAAAAAGCTTTCAAAAACGTCATAGTATCGTATGTCGAAATAACTGAAATAAATGTGATAGTATAGTATGTTGTAAAACGTCCTATTTTTATATGTACAAAAACTGAAAAAAAAGTCATAGTATAGTATGTCAAAAAAACTTTCAAAAACGTCGTAGTATAGTATGTCGAAACAACGGACAAAAAAGTCACAGTATAGTATGACGCAAAAAACATAGTGTAGTATGTCATGAAAAATTTCTGTGAAAAGTCAAACTAAAGTATGGTAATAAAAAGTCAAGTCAGACAAAAATCATAGTATTTTATGTCTCAAAAAATAAAAAATGTCCAAAGTCAACATATTTAAACGTAGAAGTGAATTCTGATTCTGATTCTGAATCTTTTGGTGTTGTTGCTTGTGAAGATGGAGATACAATCCGTAATAAACATTTTCAAATATCAGATGTCTCAGTTTATTCATACTCAGATGTTTTTGTCCATCATGTAGGTCCACGCCCAATATCAGCAGTTCACCATCCAATCAGAGACCTCCAACTTCGTGCTGGCGGTCGATGGTTACAGTGGCACTGCTGGCAACGGTTTCCTGGAGGGATCCACAGAACTGTTTGGTGAAAACCGCACGATGACCATTCACAACGGCATGATGTTCAGCACCTACGACAGAGACAACGACAACTGGTGAGTGTCCTGTTGTGGGAGACATCCACAGGATTAGAATAGCACACTACACAAAGAGACACACTCACCTTTCTCTGTCCCTGTGTCCATGAACCAGGCTCCCCGGGGATCCTTCCAAACAGTGCGCCAGAGAGGACGGAGGGGGCTGGTGGTACAACCGCTGCCACTCAGCCAATCCCAACGGCCGTTACTACATAGGCGGAGCCTACACGCGCCACATGGCCAAGCACGGCACAGACGACGGCGTGGTGTGGATGAACTGGAAGGGGAGCTGGTATTCCCTGAAGGCCATCAGCATGAAGATCAGGCCGTTCTTTGCCTCCAGATAATCGTGCCGCAGTGCGTCGACACATGACACGTACAGGAAACTGCCAAAATAAAAGACTCCAGAGTGTGGTGTGTCTGTGTAACATTCAACTGGTACTCAAGTGTGTCCTTTATTTTAGCAGTAGCTGTTATGTTGATGGACACACACTCACGTTCACACACAACTGAAACCAGACGTGTGCTGAAAACGACCAGTAATAAATGAACATGCAGCATTAAGCTTAGAAACAAAGTGAAATAATAACATGTCAGATAAAAAGATGAAGAGAAACATGGTTGTTGTTGTGAGTGAATGTGCTGTGAGCTGTCCTCTCTCGTTATGTGTGACGTCTTCAGTGTGCACTAGGACAAGTTGCTGTCAACTGTCCTCCGCTACTCAATAAACACATTGAGCAACATATTCTCTGCCTGCTCTGGTTCTTATTTCACTGCACACTCACAAAATGTACTCACCACCATCATTCCTTTACATCCCAGCTGGACAGGAAACTGAAAATAAAACACATCATGGAGGAAAATGCAAAGATACACATTTGGTTTCAAGACAAGAACTCAACACAAGTATAATAAGAGTGAGCAGAGGAAACAGAATGGTGCACAAGTGTCTTTTATTATCTGATGTGTGAACATACGAAGCACAGGATGAGTTACATATTTACAGAAATGACTGTACAGTGTACTGAAAGGAACTGTGTCTGTGTCTAACTGTGGAGACGGAGACATAAATAATGTGACAGAGGAAAAAAGAGGAGTGTGTTCTCCATGCATTGATATTAAATGTGTCTAGTTTGTGAACAGAGGTGATGAGAGCTTTGCCAACTTGCAGAACCAGAACATTCTGTGCTGAATACATGCTGACAGTCATACAGTATAGTGATGTGACGTTAGCGAACAACTGAACCAGCTCTTTAGAGTGAACGAGCCAGTTCCTAATTTCTTTGATTTTTACTTTAATTGACTCTGTATCCATTCATTTCAGATCATTTGATGCGGAACAAGTTGAGAGAGAGTAGTTTGTGAGGGGGAAAGACAGTGCAGCTGCTCACTCGTTCACTTCAAAGAGCCAGTTCAAAGACTCGGCTCATTCGCGAACGCCACATCACTACTTCAATCAATCAATCAATTTTATTTATAAAGCCCAATATCACAAATCACAATTTGCCTCACAGGGCTTTACAGCATACGACATACCTCTGTCCTTATGACCCTCGCAGCGGATAAGGAAAAACTCCCCAAAAAAAACCCTTACTTGTTGTTTATAAAGGGCGTTGCTATAGCTACACCAAACTTTACATCTGCGGAGTCTATTCTGGGTCCACGTTACGATACCCAGATCACGTGATGCGATAAATCACCAATGTGATTCGTCGTTGAACCCACTAACAGCCCCCCACCACACACACACACACACACACACACACACACAAAAAAAAAACAAAAAAAAACCGAACGAACCGCATCTTTGAACCGGCTCTCACAAGTGAACGAGAAATCCCATCACTAAAACAGTAGATGGCGGTCAGTAAGACTCAAGTTTGGAGCAGCAGCCTGGAGTCTGACATGTAAGCGAAGCAACTTACAGCTGAGGAGACGGACAACAACAAAATATATTTTAGCCACCTAAAAAAAAATCAATATCAGTTGAAGTGTACATAACCTCAAGAATATTCTAACAGTGTCACCTTTCCACCACACAGCCTGTCCCCACAGGGCAGCCATCACAGCTCCAGTTCCCCATCTATGCTCTCGTCAAAGACACCAGACCCCATTTAGAAAACCAGTGATTTAAGACAGCTGCACACAGGAGCTGCTGGTCGACTGCTGCCTCCATCAGTTAGTGTGTTTGTGTTACTGTGTTATAAAGGGTTACTTCAGATTCATCAACGTAGGCTCAGCACCAGAAGTGACCCGCAATTATCTCCAAGTCAAATCTGGACAAGACGAATGAGAATGCTATAGGTGAGGACACACCAAACCGACATCTAAGAACTAGTGGCGACGAAAGCCAACTGTTGTGTCGTCTACATCGCCTCACGTCGCCCTGTGTCAGTTGCATTTGAACACACTACACGGACTATTACATCCAGACGGTCCC